AAGTTTGACAAAATTGGCCAAGCCAAAAAAATCACAGAAGAAATAATAGTGAACACTGGAAATGTACACACACAGACACACACACACACACACAAAACGACAAAAGTGATTATAAGGGCAATCCTAGCGGAGCGGATCGCCAACATAACATTGAACAAAAGACTGGCAATGGGGTGAGGCAAATGAACCCCATGGTCAGGTGTTAAGTAAACTATGATTGTGAAAACATTATATGTAGGTAGTAGACAGGTGTGGTCGTCCCAGCAGTGTTAACCTCAGATTACTATGTAATCGGCCAGTTATTAAATTTATTTTAGGCTAATGCAAAACAAGTCCACTGTGTTACCAGTGTCCACGGATATTGTTTTGTAACAACAATGTTGCTATTACTTTGTCTCACAGGTACAAAGAGTTCGAAATAAATGCCATAAATACCGTATGGGACCTGGAACTTGATAAGGTCAGAAGTGTATACGCATTGCCACAAATATTGGCTTTTTGTCGCCGACATTCAGTCTTCAAGACGATTCGAATCTATTAAAACAAAACATATCATCGTTGATTATTCGTCAAAGTATATTTATAACTGACATAATATATTCAGTAAATGTTATATTCTATAGCCTTATCTGAATGGAGGATCTGCCAATAGTAGTTTTGAAATGCCGTCAATGAAGTCAGCTGTATTCGTAGATGGGCCTGTCAATAACCCAAAGATTAAAAGTAAGTTGTATAATTAAATATATCTGTTATGTATTAAGATGCAGCAATTAATTACATATAATATTCTAATGCTCAGTTACGAATTTCTATACCATATTGGTAACCAGTATTGAAACACGTAATTTAGTACGTGGCCATTTTAAACTTCTCAACTTCACGTTCATATCATGTAAGTGTTCACATTTTCAGATAAATATTGGACAGTGGAAATAGCCATGCCATTTAAAGACCTGGTTAGACAGACCTGCAAAGCCACGGCACCACCAAAGCATGGGGACCAGTGGAGAATCAATTTCAGCAGGTTGTAATTTATTTGTTCGGAGTATTTAATTAATTCGTATATTGGGTTGATAACATATGATAAAGCCCCGAGAAATTGCATAATTCACGAGCCGCACCTATTATAGTACACAAAAATTTATTTTAATTATAATGCTGAGACATTAAAATAACGTTAAAGCACCTAAACCCAAACCATGTACAAATGTCGTACGCTCAATTACGTTTTGAGAATCGATAACTACTGTAAACGGCAATAATTTTTTTTGGCGTCCTTTGGATAATTCAGGAGAAACAAAAAAACATTTTCTCTTGCATCAAAATTACTCTTTGTAGTATACTTGTTTTGCACCAGACTTTATACAGAAGATACAGAGAAGCACAAAGACGAAGTATGTTGCATCAAAATGATGGCATTCCGAGATTTAATAAATACCTGAGCCCTCTGCCTGAGTAGCTGTATTCTTCCTAAACAATTTTCTGAGAAGGCTACGATATGCACATTCATGTTACTAGTAATCGCCTTTCTTCTGTCGCTATTACCCTAATCGTTCTTTGGCATTTATTATTCTTGGCAGGGTCGAGTGGCATGTGCAGAATGTAGACGGACATTATGAAAAGGTATGATTGTCAGTTAAATTATATGCCAAATATAATTTATCATTACAATCGCAACTACAAGTTTGTCATGACGACGCTTATATAGAATTTGTACTGCTTACAGTTTAGTATGGCTACTGAACAACGATTCAAACACAAAATGGGACAATTATTCATTATAAAACGACATGTTTTTTAACAATTTACAATTGGTTTCTGTAGTAGAAAGGTCTCATCACAAATTTTTAAACCTACACTGTGCTCAGCGACATGAAGAGAACACATCACATCTAGATATAAGATCGGTATTTATGGTTGTCATAACGAATTAATAAGTTAATATTGATTGACGGGAAATTAGTTCCGAAAATTTGCACAACAATTTTCTGTGTTAAAAAAAGCTTTATATTTACAAATCATGCAGCAATTTTGAAACTCTTCCTATCAATCGACTGCTGTGAACAGTAGTGAGTGTCAATAATAATTTTACATCTCCTCAGATTTCAGGCTTACCAGAAGACAATTGGGTTTGGTCCCCCCAACATGCTATCAATATGCATTTGCCAGAAAGGTTAGAGTAATATATATATTTTATGTGGTGATGTTGTTTAAAATTTTATCATTTGTTTGCATTATATTTTGTAAACGCCATGTTATGGGCTAATAGGTAAGGTATAGGTTGGTGGATATGATATTATTTTATCTCATTCACCAGGTGGGGTATTTTACAATTTAGCACTGATACAGTTAACAGTACCAAGTTTACAAGGGATCCCAACTGGCCTGTATATTCAAGTCTTGTTGAGGTGTATAATGCACAAAAGGTAAATCATATAATAGTGTTCAAATGAATATGGGAAAATTGTTTGATATTCATAAAAATTCATTTATCATATAGTTCATGTACATGGTACAATAGTTTAGTGAACATAAACAGTGCTGTAAAATTGTACCTCATTATATGTTTATATATACGGTAGCATATTTATATACCACTATAGAAAATTTGTATATTTCCTCTGGGTTTTTTTGAATCCTATTACGTCTGTAATATCTCCATTTACGGAATGTTACTAGGTGAACTGTGTAAATTACGCGTGAACTCACAATTCGAAAGACGTGATTATGTAAATCAGTAAAAGTTGGGTGAGTTGGTCATTTATTCGTCTTGTGTAGTTATATGTTCGTAATATGCCTGTACTTTCAGCGATGGTTATTTTAATAATGGTAATATTGTAGATGACAGGATACTCAATAATAGCCTATAACCCAGGCGCGTAACGATGTCGGTAACTTACTATTTAGGACTATAATTTATGAAAAAAGTGGACATCCGTTCAGGCAATAAATATCGAAACGCGGTATGTACTAGTAAAACGAGATGGACAGTTATTAGTCCCCGTTCGAACGAAGTCCGAAAACGGGGACATATGTTTTGACCTCCGTGCGTGCGTGCGTCTGTGCGTGCGTCCGGAACTGTATCTTAGAAATGCCTGGACCAATCACAATCAAACTTCACACATACATCATACATGATATCATACATATGCACGTCAATTTGTTTCACGATCTGATTCAAGATGGCCGAATGGCGGCCATTTTTGTACTAAAAATCATAAAAATCAAGCATTTCTCGGCTGTTTACAGATGGATTTTGTTTAAACTTGATATATACATTAGACATTATGGGACCTTGATGCAAATAATTTTGTTTTTCAGATAACATTCAAAATGGCCGACTGGCGGTCATTTTGTTTTAATGAATGGGCTTCTAGACCCATATTTCCAACTTGTTTTGACTGATTATGTTCAAATTTTAAATATTCATTATACATCATGTTATAGATAGACAGATATATTGGTTTGACGATCCTATTCAAAATGGCCGAATGGTTGTCATTTTTGTGCTAAAAAAATCATCAAATATCAAGCATTTCTGGCATTTATGGATGGATTTCGTTCAAACTTGCTACATACATTAGACATTACGGGTTCCCAATGCACGTCATTTTATTTTTCAGATCAGACTCAAAATGGCTGTCAGGTGGCCATTTTGTTTTAATGAATGGGTTTCCAAACTCATATGTCTGACTTGTTTTGACTGATTATGTTCAAATTTTTAATATTCATTATACATCATGTCACAGATATACAGATATATTGGTTTGACGATCCTTTTCAAAGTGGCCTAATGGTGGCTATTTTTGTGCTAAAAAACTTGTTTTATTTTGTAGATCGGATTCTGAATGGCTGACTAGTGGCCTTTTTGTTTTAATGAATGGGCTTCTAGAGCCATATCTCTGACATGCTTTGACTGACTATGTTCAAATTTCTTATATTCATTATACATATATTCATAATGGCTGATTTTGTTTTAATTAATGCTGTTCCAGAGCAATATCTCTCAATACTCATTTGACGATCAGATACAAATGTCAATCATTTAAATGTTAAACAATCATCATATTCCTGACATGTTTATATTCCAGCTATATTACTATAAACAAAACTTTATATCTTAAATTTGATAACTAACGGGGACTGTGCCATGCATGGCTTGTTAAATCTTGTACAACTGGACACGAACTTCACAATCCATAACGCAATGCAACGAAGACACTTCAAAATGGCTGCACCCAGTCACAACGAACAAAACATAGTATGCATTCAAAAACGAGCAACGTTCGACTACGCAATAAACATAGAAACATGAAATGAATCTGTGAAACGAGATTAATAATTGATAAATCTTAATCAATAAAACGCTTATTATGTTTGCTTTTTGACAGAGGAAGTCCACCACGTTAACTTTAATATTACTGAAGTCATTTATTAAAATGATAGCTTGTAAACCTGTGTCTTGTATTTCTTTTAATGTTTGCCGACAGTTACTTATGATAGGATCTATGAATATTTTATGATGAAATGTTCCTTCAATACTAAATCATTTTTTATTTAATTTTTTCACAGAAATTCTTTGCAATTGAGGGTTATTTCACAGAAATCCTTAATCAATTGGACTTGCCAGATTGGGTAACTAAAGGCCTATGCACAAAGACACCTAACATAACTGTAATTAAGACGTATAATTTCAATGCAACAGTCGTGCCCATCAACCAATCACTGCCCAGTGGCTACGTTCGAGATGATAGGCTCATTTGGTTTTCTGGCGCGAGCTTGTTCTAAAGCTAGTCTATTTTTTCAACATTCGAGGCTGAGATTTAGAACTATTTTGTATTAGAGGCTGGTGCATATCACATTGGTGTCTTAACATATACATGTAGTGTTTTGTCTGGTAAGGTGTAGTTCATTTTATTGAGAAGAATTGTCGAGACGATATTACTTCATATTATACATATTCGTATCTCATTTAAGAATGCGACACAGCTTTGTAGGTAAATTTGGATTGTGTAGATCAACACTAGTAACAAATCTGATCTCGAATTATGTTTAGAAATGCTAATTTATGCTAAAAAAAAAGGCTTTAGTATGTGAGATTGCGTTTATATTTAATTGTTACAGTAATCTATATGATTATGTAAAACACTTATTAGTTACACAACACAGGGAGAAGTTGTATCACCATATTTACTCGTGTTTTTAACTGAATGCTGAAACTTTGTTACATTTTTACACGGAATACCTATTGCAATAGATTTATTTTTACTTGATTGAAAAGTTAAATAACTTTTATGCAAATTTCCCATTGTCTAGTTTACACATATAAACAGAAATTGTCGTTTTCCTGCTTTGCTAAACACTGATAACAATAAAAAGTCTCGTTTGCTGTCTTCTTCTATTTTGAGCACACACAACGTTTTACTAAATAATATTAGTTTGAAGGAAAACAGGAATGTACTTGCATGTGTTTAAACACAACAATAAGTTTTACGAAATTAAAGATCAGAGCCAACAGAAAACATATAACGTGTATATAGTCAAATGCCATCTTCATTGTGAAATATAAGTTTGCAAATCAGTTCTTAATATGTTTTACAAAGATTTAACGCTTTAATAAATGACAGAAGACAGAACAATTTTTGGTAATAGTTGAACTCCATGATGTGATTCGCCTGTGAATCTCGCCATGATGCTGAGCGCGTGGTATCTGGTCGCACCTTCCACCCGCAGAATGTACAGCCAGGCATCATGTCTGGCGGGAGTGTGCAGGTAGACTCACAGCCCATTGGGGATGGACAGCGCGGGCACCCGTGTATAGTATGATTGGTCTGTGCGTGTCATGAAAACGTCAAAAAAACAACAAAGTCCACAAAGGAAATTTGGATTCGATCGCAAGATAGTTCAGAAGTTTGACAAGTGAGCTGAAACTCAGTCGCATGTTAAAGAACGACATATATGCAGGTCTCATATAAACAAAGATGGCGATTTTGACTGTTGCGCAGATCAACGAGTACAAACTGAGACGTTATCAAGCTTTAATGGGGTATTTTGTAGGTCATTTGATGGTATTGAAGGAGTCACCGGCGGTAATTAGTGCAATCAGTGCAATCACAATTAGTGCAGGTGCTTTGTCTGACTTATATTTCAGTTATATTTCATTGTAACTAAAATCTCTGTCAAGATCCATTCTGCCTATGACACTGCTTTCCATTTCTACAGTATTACTGTAAACATACTTTGTGAAATCCTTATCACCAGTAATAGTATTTGAATTTAGGGATTTGAAATGGCTAAGTCATTACTCTCCACTAATACAATCCTCCTCCTTACCATCTTTGTTTAAACTACCAAACTCCTCTAATAATTTCCAAAACTATTGTGGATCAAAGTGTTGCATTGACATTTGTCACACAATTTGGCTCTAAATTCTCTTTTGTTAGCCTTAATAAGCTGTTTATATTTTTTATTAACCCTGTACCTCTCCTGATATTATTATCTTTAGGGAGTTTATCAAGTATCTTATTAATTAGCTGCTTACGTATATAACGTTCAGATGGGCAGCTTGGAGAATAGATCAAAGAGTTTTTCTTTCGGCAGCCTGATATATTATATATTTTTATTAGACGCATAAAATCCTTAGGAAAGGATAAAAAGGGTCTTACAGAAAGAAATTAAAAAAAAAACAAAAAAAAACTACAATCTAAAAAAGAAAACAAAAAATAAAAACTTTTCCAAAAAAAAAAAAAAAAAAAAAAACAAGTCAAAAACAAAAAAAATACAATTTGCAGCCAATACAGAATATAAAATGAACACAGAATGTGGCCTAATACACTGATAGTTGTTGCTGTTTTGTTCCATAGCTGTTTTTTAAAAAAACAGCTAAGGCTGGTGCTAGAGTATGGTTTGCCATAATCAAAATGAATTTATTCTGACTATTTTCTTTATCAAAATTTGGAATTTTATTTTGTGCAGTCAGGAATAATTTGTCCCTATGGTGACTGTAAGCTGGACATTTCATTACAAAATGTTGCTCATCCTCAACTATATTTTGGCTGCACATATCACATGTTCATATAAGCATGTTGATATTGTCCAGCTCATAGAAAGGTAATGTAAGAGAAAGGACCCTCGACCTTTTCTGTAGCAATGGGTACTCTTAAGTGGAGACAGATTAGAGCATCACATAGATATACATTGTGCTGGCTTGTGTTTGTGTTTGCAGACCCAACTGTAAATTACGTAGAAAGTCTTTGATGGCTAACAACCCAAGAAATGGCATCAGCAATTGTTGAGAGAGATCCATGATAATACTAAAGCCCCCACTTTTCTTTGGACGTAGGTTAAGTAAGTTACTGATTAAGCTGTCAATGAGAGGGTTTTAAATGGACTGATGGTGCGAGTGTGGAGTCCTGGTAGAATTAGGTTGACTATCAAATTAACATTATATTGTAGTTTTGTGTTATATAGGCAGTCATTGTTATTTATTTATTAATTATTCAGTAAGGTAGCCACTAGTGCACTGTAACTATTATTATATATCAGTATTTATAGTTAGATAGCAATTATATAATATAACTATTATTCCATGTACTAGTGAAACAAGACGTTCAAGGCTAAAAGACATATGCACACTAGTACTTTATGTAAACAGGAGCACATGTTCAAGTTTCAGGGTCATTACCATGTATGGAATTAAGAGTATTATCTAAACAGGATGTGGAGGTAATTAGTAGATAGGAGGCAGTTAAGTCAGACACACCCTAGACAGACCAGCAAGGGATCAACATCTGTTATAGCAGCTCTCTCATACTCCACTGTGTGATCTCTATGTACCTCATTGAATAAACCCAACTATTATACACTTGTACTCAAAACCATCTCCGTGTACCTGTAGTGAAGAGTGTAACACGACTAAGTTTGATTTTTTTTCAGAATTCATTCTGTAATGCTCCATTCATAAAACTGATTTTTCCGGTCGATCGTGCAGTTCTTGCCCGAAAGACGCAAGCTTGCTTTATTGAGAGGTGTGCTTGGGTGCAAATTTGCCCCTGCGTGTACTGACATATGCATGGGGATGAAAGGGTTGTGGTGGTTGCTTGTGAAGTTGTTCATTTGGCTCAGTGTTATGATAGCTAGTGGCAGTGTGGCATGAACAAATGTGAAGACAGTTGTATGGGCATGGCGTGATGCGGCACACTGAATTATTATAATTGTTGATTCATTTACCCATGTGTTCTATTGTGTTAACACTCTTGCCTCGTGTGATCTTTTTGTTGGAATGAGCAGATTAGTTTATATTGACAGAATTTGTAATCATTGGGCAAACTCCAGTTCTGCAGGCCAGGGTAAAGTGAGTGATCTAGTCAGAATTCTTTATCGAAGCTGACCCATGCGTTTGGCTTTGCTAGCGATGTGGCGCTGGTAGTTGAAAAGATGTACAGCCTTGTGGGGGAAATAGTGTGCTTTATAAACAGCAAAATATTCGACCAATATTATAACTAGCAATGTATATGTGTATATGTAATGTATTGAGTTTGCCTAAGCGCATTGCATGCTGGGTACTACCTCGTGAGTTTGGTAAATAAAGTCTCCATCCATGTTCGATTGAGTCCTATAATTTATGATAGTAAGAGTGACGGCCTGGTATATTACAGAGCCTAAGAGTGATACACTACACTAGGTTGTTATTGTTTTTATTGTCTCGCAACTGAGGAATCGTCAGAATCAAATTTCACTCGGCTCTTTAAGATTTGGGTGACGTTTAGTCTTACTTGAATCAGGGTGTAAGTCAAATCAACAACATTACCCTGGTTTGCCAACAAGTCCACAGTAGGGATGATGGTGGAACTGCAAAGCTGTCCTTGTTTATCATAAATGTTGCTTGTATCTAAGTGTTGACGCCAGAAACAGAAGTATGAGCGCCTTTACTGGCGAAACTTTACATAGGAGCGGCCATATACTTGGGAGCGGACATCTGGGCATTTTAACCGCTTGGCAACCATCACGGTGAAAACAAAGGCAGAAAACTCTAAGAAAATAGTACTTTGAGATGGTTATTGAGACTCCCCTGAACAGTGTAACAATGTTACTCCTGCATGCACAACATATATAAATTTGGTTGTTCAGGATTACTTCTAGGTTGAGTTTGTGTTGTTTTCTCGAACTTAGCTATTTTCACCGGCTCATTGAAATACATGGTACAGTGGTGTGTGTCTTAGCAACGTAGAACGTCTTGTGAATTGTTGCATTGAAATGATCCCCCGTTTGAGTACTAGTATGATTAACATTGCTAGTAGGTGTTACTTGCCTTTAACTTCCATTCATATAGCTCACTTATAAAAGCTATATCAGTTGTGCTTTTGCGTTAATACCAACTCGCAAATAAGCAGATGTCATATTTAATAGTTGAGCACTAGCGTGCGCCAAACATCTATTCTGGGCAATAGATAAATATTTGTCGTCGCTTCTACCAACTTTGAATTTCATGGAACCACCAAGCTTGCGTCCAAGGACCACAGAACTGAGGAAGGGGCTGCAGTCAGGTTGTATTACTCAGGCTTCTAACATCAATTTGAAATCACTGCTTTATGGCAGTATATATTAAATGAAATGTACAGCTGACGAGGCTGACACTGAATAAAATAATTGAGTTACTGGCAACAAATAAGGTCGTGGAAATGTATTAATGAATATCGGGCCAAAAGTGGGAGTATTATATCGTTCATTACTCCAGACACTTTATAAAGCGGAAATTGAAAAAAAAAAAACTGCAATCTCAATAAACTTTGTTAGGAAATGGATGACAGATTCAACAGAACATGGCAAAGACCTGAGCATGAATTGAAAATAATGGTTACAAAAGGAACTGAAAAAAGAAGACGCAGCAGAAGTAAGTACATGTTGAATCATGATGAACTTGGTGATCAGTGCACATGGACATGATCAGCACAGACTTGTGAGAAACAATACCTGCTTTACACAAGACACGTGATTAGGGGACAACAATTCATACATCTGGTAGATATATCACTGCTGAATACACCAACTAACCTGACCAAGAACCATCAAACTGTGCCATGCAAAAAAAAAAAAACATATGATTAAAAACATCTGATTAAAATCCAACATAGGCATAGGGTTGTTTTTTGTTTATTTATGACTAATTTTATGGTTTTACGTGTCTTCATTAAGATGATTTTACATATCGCATTACACAAATTATGTAACGCACATTTCAAAAGTGGTCAATAATACCCTTTGATTTTAAATTGTAAATATTTGCGTCGACTAACACATTAACATGAAGCATAGTTAATGGATTATTACTCCAATATTACGTTGCTGAAATGTACGTTTTTTTAGCCTTGTATTGCATTAATATATACCGCTTAGTGACATACGGTGTTGTACTCAATGTGGTTATTCACAATATTATGGCAATGATAAAAACAATATCAATATCGCAGGCTGTTCGAATAGATACAGGTGTTTGTTTAGTGTGGCTGGTGGCGGTTTAAATTAGTTCATGGTCAGCTCAACATTAAAACATTGCCCTGCTTTTTATTATATTTATTATTCATATTATACATTCTGGTTTTGTTTTTAATTTGTTCATTGTGTTATTTACTATTGTGGTCGAAAAAAATCACATTCAGCGTAACACTGTATATATACTCATGTTGACAGACATACAAAAGCAAACAGACACCAATTCAATATGATTAAAATAAGATAAGAATTGAAATGAGAGAATAATAATTGCATAATCATCATATTGCATTGACATTTGTTTAATAATCAATAATATGCATATTAATCATCTAATTATTATTTGCTAATTTCTGGTATCTCAAAAAAAGTAGAAGTGCTCTGGAATAAATGAGACTGAAACTACAGATGAAAAATCAAATGTAAAACTTTAAAAAAAAAACATCAAATAATTTGTATAAGTATTATAACTTCAATAATGTGGATCAAATCGTTTTCATGTTGTACATCTCGTATAGCAAACAAATATTAGTTGCCAACCCTTTTGTTTTGGAAAGCTAATTCATTTGTAATATGTCTCCAATATCCTCAGCACAATACAGTTCTTTAATTTTATTTTAATATATTTTTTTATTATTGTTAATTTTAATTATTATGTATTTTACAAACAATTTGCTGGTGTTTGTTTTACCATACTGTCTCTAACAACACCAAGCAGTCCCCTCCGTAAAAATGGATTATTCCTCGTAGAAGTAATGCGGATTTTATTTCGATTGCTAGACCGGGTTGTAGGCAGCGAGTTTACTTCATCATTTCAATGAAATAAAGGTATGTATTTTGTCTTTGCCATTATCTGAGCGGTGATTGTTGCGTCGAGGTTGTAGTGAAAATTGAATATCACACAATAGAAATACATGCGACCTTTATCATGCTATCTTGTCGTAGAAATAATGACACATTTACTGAAGTAGATTAGCATTTTTAGATGATGGAATCAGTTAAATGTTACGAAACTGCAATTTTTGGTATTTGTGTGCTGGTCAAAACTCGACATCTAAGAAATTTCATGTAATTTGCTGATCGTTTAATCGTTGTCCAATTATCTAAACTATGTATTGTAAATTACACTTGGAGTTGAACACACTTGCTCATTGTATAGTGTTGTATAGTTTCATTTACACAATCTGCTTCTGATCACAGTATGCACTAAATCATGAATAGTGTTTATGTAAAATATTTAGATGAGAAACACAGCTCTATATATTTTTATATTTTATAATGTTTTGACATGCACACTTTAGAGTCGCAGACACGAATGGAAATTGTAAGATAACACGAAAATGTTGTTGAACTCTGATGGTGAATCATATCGCACGTAACTGTTATCAAGTATTATATTAATTACCTTGTATTCTCATCACGTACCTCAAGCTTAAAGAGAAAATGAACGGATATTGTAATATTTTTTTTCCCACTTTTATTTTGAATCATTTACACATATTGTGCTTATTTTTTGAAGTGATAATACTCACTTGGACCTCGTCACTGAGCTACGAGTGTTTTATTCGGCATTCTCATTATACTATAGACTATAATATATTACCTAATTTGCGGCGATCTTTTTTGAATGCTGATACATGTATTTTGTTTTCACGACCAACAAAAAAATATTTCCGTAATTCCCGCGTGTTCAAAACCGGCACCAGTGGTAAATATGTTTGCCGTGTGAATTAGTACGAATGTTGCATGAAATGTTTTTGCAGCACAATTATAACAGTGTTGCACTTTTAATATCTTTCACAGAGATTGTAACATCAGTATGACTATAAAAGCACCAATACTTAAAGTTGTTTTACTGGGCATATGCACTGTGTCGTTGTACTATAATGCACAGCATTACCATTTAACACATGTGCATGGCAATCCTGAACCAATCATGGAATTAACGAAACACGGCAATACAAAATATCAATCTGAAGTGATACCCAGTGAAACAGAGAACAGACAAGGTGTGTATAGTTCTGTCTAACTATAGTAGTAATAGTAGTGTAATGGTCATACTGTTAACCCCTCTTAGATGATTATCAGCTTATTGTCTACGAGGGCACAAAATCCAGTAACAAATAATCAGAACAATTATATATATATAGTTCCATGTTTAAGAACAAATACAACTACATCGACTCATATACTAATCATGAAGACGTGCAATGATTAAAGTTCTGATTCACATTTTGTTTTTTAGACAAATCAACCTTGTCTTCAAAAACAGGGCTGCGTTCCGATCCAGCATTAGACAATTATGATAAAGTAAAACTAGACATGATATCTACACAAAATACACTTGGTGTCAAAGGTATGTGAATAATTAAAGCGGCACTAGCTGTAGTTTTGAACACATATTTGTTTAAATTTAACTTCATAAAAATAGTCAATTCTGACACATTTGCAAGGTATCCCTACGTAAGGCTAACATGACATAAAATGTGATAAGAAGGGTTGAATAGTCACTATTTCCAGTCGTTGAAATCGACGCACACTATTATGAAATGATACTTAAAACCATCAATGAGAGGCCACCAGAAAGAGGCTTTAAGCTTAAAATACGTAACTATGGCCGCTAGTTCGAGTATGGCGTACATTGCAGACAAGTTCACTACATATACGGTGGCCGAGGGAAAGGTGTGCCGTGACCCTCATCTAGGCGGTGTATTTGTTAGTTTTGGTCTCAGTCACATACGCACGAAATGTTTACTTTGAAACGCACTGCACAAAATAATATTATTTGAAATAATGTTAACCATGTTGTTTATTTTACTTGCGTGTCAGCAGCAGCTTGTTATACTGCTGCACTGATATTCACCATTATTAGAGATGCCCGGTGTTAGAGGAAATGACGTGTCGTGACGTCAAGCTAAGCGATTAGATGCCGAACGCACACTCTGGTTCGAGTCACACACTCTGTACTTGTTTATTTGAAATAGTATTTACCATGCTGTTTAGTAATGAATTAATAAACGTTTAATGATTGACTGATATTGTCGTGGTTTTGATTTAAACGTATCGAAAATATAATTTAGTCCGTTTTTTCGAAATTAAACAATGCATCACTGCCTAAAATTCAGGTAATTGTTAGCTGTGACGTCATCGGAGCTGTGAAGTGTCCTCCATTCTCGCACTTTCCGACAAGCCTCTGTGCTGTCATCGACTGCCAATGCAATATACTAGCTGTAGTATTCAAAGCATTGAAATGACATTCTGTTTAACAATTTAGGGAATAAAACCTTCAACTGTGCTATTAATTTTGGTGAATGGCCGGAAGGAACAAAAGAGAAAGTGTGGTTAACAAGCTTTCCAAGATCTGGAAACACTTGGACACGTCATTTATTGGAAGTTGCAACAGGAATTTATACTGGTTCATGTCACAATGCAAATGGGTTATATATGCATGGTAAGAAAACTTTTTATATAACATTTATAAGAAGAAAAGAAAGAAAATTGCATCACCGCATTGTTTTATTTGGCCTTGTCTTCACTTTAACAATTTAGAAAAATCCCAACTACTACAAATTCATGGATATACCTGATTTGAGCACAATAGTTAATTTTGTATTTTGTGTTAGATTCTGTTGCACTTTATTCAATTCACTTCTTTTCTTTCTTCAGTCAGTTCATTTGTCAATTGTATGTACATTATTTGCTTGTTCAAAAGTTTTCTTACCCCTAATGTTAGAATTGGAAATTATATTGTTTAGTCTGACGATGTCAATAATGTTCCCGGAACACATCACGATTTTAAAAGTTATATGGGAATCAGTCACATTGTCAAATCACTGTCAAATTGTTTCAAGCGATATGCGGATTTAGATTCAGAATGTATGATTGTTGACAATACATATGTTTTCGCTATTCACATTTGACAGAATAGAACTGGTATTCATAACAGTGTGAATTGATCATTGTATTGTTTGTTTGTTTATAAAAATGCAATATCTTGCAGTAATGTAAATGGCCAATGTCTTGTGTACCAACAGGTATGTCTCTCTAGCAGGTGTCTCTTGAAAGGAAGCTCAAATCACCAGTGTCAATAACAAGTTGGCGGGCAATAACTTTTCCCTTGACCTTGCCAATGATGTAGCACCCTTACTTTCTGTCTTTTGAACACCAGATTTTATTTTGAGATATATGGGAATAGAGATTACAGGTGCATAACGAACATATAAAAACACCCATGAACATGAGACCCAGATAGAACGTCAATCTGAGCATAACAGTAAGCATATACATTTTTTTTCTGGTTTACATCGAATGAAACTGACAGCAATGTCAACCGCCAACAACTATTAAAGTTACTATACATATGTCATAACAGCAAGTTCTATAGATAGTGCTGCAAGCAATTCGTACTTCTCTGCATAGTAGTGCAGCTCGATTAGACCTATATTGTGAAGTTGGGCCTGGAGGGACTCTGCTGGCCAAGTTTTACAGCCAGTAGAAGGCGAAACTATAGTTAAGAATGGAAACCAGTTGGAGCTTGCTTTGGAGACTGTTGGAAAGCGGTGCAGCATTGTCTCTAGTTAGTTAGACAAGACTTTGAGAACTGTGGTCTGGCACAACATCTCAGATGTGAAAGTGTCCATAGCTCGCCATAGTACTATGAGGTCAGCACTTATGATGAGTTGTTGCATGAGACCTGAGACACTGAACATGAAGTGTGACAACAGGTTCAGACTGTTTCTGTAGCGTTTGATTGGTGCCAAATAGTCTGGTGAGTGAATGTGATAAATTTGGTCAAATGACTAGAAACTGCTCTGAGAAACAGTTTTTATTGAAGGGAAATAAAGCAAATATTTAACGGTTCACAAGTAACAACAGTTAGGTCCATTTCTATAAAAAAAACTGTCCTGCCCAATTCCCAGCTAGAGTGTTTGGTAGAACAGAGCATCATATCGCCATAACTCTTGTTGTACCAGATAATTACACTCTGAAGACACCTGGGACTATTGGCACAATGTTTTGGATCAATGTCATCGCTCATGCAGGACAATGGTAATGGTGATGAATATAGTGGTACTGTTAGATACACGAGTCAACAACACTTGGGGGCATGAGACAAGTTCTTAGACCTAGAGGTCATTTTGGAATAGTGAAAGCTGATATCAACAAGCCAGTGATGATTCGTCTTGACGACTGCCAGATCATATAAGGCAAAGTTAAGGGAGCACCAAAAAGACAGATATGTAGTGGCTGTAGAGCCAACCAAAAATGCCTGGACATCTGTAGTGGCGGAGTCAGCAGCTGCTATGTAGGAGTGTGAGTGAAGAAAATCTAAAGTTCCTGTAACTATATCTAATACTTCAATGAATCACGCTATAACCGCCAAGCCAGGATGTGTGGTTGGGAAGCAAAACCAAAACCAAAACCAAGACGTTATGCACTGCCTTGAATAGAAGAAAGCATGAACGTTTGACTTGAAAAGTGGGTACTGACAAATGACAAATGAATGAACGTGACTGCCTTTGTGACTCTGGTTTGACACTAGGAGTGCAACAGTTTCCCATGTGGCCCTCTAGTAATGCCAGCTCATTTCAAAGAGTTATAGAGAGATGTCTAGGTGACCTAGCCATTTAAGACCTGTTTGATTTATTAGGATGATGTGATTGTCTACTCAGTTTCATTCCTTGAAAACTTTGAGAGACTGAAGTGCTGAAGAAGCTTTGTGACAATGGGTTGAAGGTCACCACCAAGAAAGTCTGACAACTCCACCACTGTTGGCCTACAGTGATTATAAAAAGATATTTGAGTTGCATACTGATGCGAGTCAGATAGGATTGGGTGCATCTCTGTATCCAGAACATAATTGAATGAAGTGAGTGGTAGGGTATGCCAGCAGGGAACTTTATAGAAGATGAATGAGATGAATTATCTGGCTCACAAACTGGGGATTTCAAATGGGCAGTCAGCAATACATTTTGTGTTGTATGGGCACAAATTCAAAGTGGTTATAGACTACAAACCGCTGACCTACATTTTGACCCACATCAACTCGATTAGATGCAACAGGACATCGGTGGTTAGCATGCCTAGCACAGACCAGGCAAGTTAAATGGTGATGCTGATGTCATGTCACAACGACCACAGTAGAGGTGCGTAACTGATAGCAAAGGGAAACCTCATTAGTTAGACTGGTCCCACCTGCAAAACATGGTAGAGAAGTCTTGAAATCTAATCTAAGTGAAATCTAAGTATCAGTTTGTAAGGCTCAAAAGAATAACTACATCACCGGTAGTGCCTTTGACACTAGGTGAACCAAGTGCTGACGTAGGTCAAATAACCCTCCCAGATACTGCACCTGAAATGTGGCAAGACGAGCAAAGAAGAATACAGTTATTGGAAAAGTGCATGAGATTTTTGTGATGAGAGTACCACCTTGATGATCTTACACTTAATTCATCGAAAGGGGGATACAAGGATATATTGTTAGCAACTAACTATTTCAGAGTGGCTGCAAGTTCAAGTGATGGAGAGGATTCTGATACTGTTGAGTGGGTGGTGTTTACACATAGAGGACCTGCCCGATGGAGATACAAGAACAGATCATGCTAGCAGAATCCATAGTTTGTAGAGTTACAAATGAGACTGAATCATGGGAAACTGAATCGGGAAGTGAGGATAATGGTCCAATTTAATTAGGTGGTTGTGTGGAGTAATATGATGTGATAAAAAGTGAGCTGTAGGACTGCAAGAAGCAAGTTTGTGGGCTGCAGACATATTGTGAGACAAAAGTTGAGAGGTAACCTCAAAATTAGCTGAATCCAGTATGTAAGTCAGTAGTTTGCTAGCTGTCTGTTTTGAGTCAATGTGTTGTATTGTTGGTCACATGGTTCTTTACTTTTTTGCCATGTTTTGGCAGTTAATATATTCACATTGATGTGTCTTATTGTGAATGTAGGAGATTCTAGTCCAGTCACTTGGTTGCTGTGCTGCATATGTTGTTTGTGCATATGGCTTCTGAATTACATCAATGTGTGGTTGTACTTTGCTGGGTGATGTTCTATGGTGTTTGTTCCAGATTTGGGATTTCCAGTTTGTAGTATTATTAACAAGATGTGGTCCTGATGTACTAGAAGAGGATATGATAAAGGATGTTCTAGAGGTAGATGGAAGTGAAACTTCCAAGTAGCAAAATGAAAAAATACATAGTCTAATACATTAAAATAAGTATGAAGTAGTCATTTGCACTTTTGTAGTATGCAGATTCGCTCTTGTGCATAATTTACAGCCATTTTAGTTCCTTAGGAGATATTGTTAGTTTTTAATGTAATTTAATTAGAAAGTCAAGCTACAAGTTTGAAGATGAGGTTGGTGTGATGACGAGAAGTCCCTGTCTAGAAGACTAAAAGAAAATATTGAAGATACTGATGAAGAACATAGATATCTTCCTATGGGGAGTTGTTGAATGGTGGCATTTGACCTCAAAACAAAAAAGTATTGTTATATATAGCTCAATTATCGATACTTTGCTTGTGTTTATTAAACACAGCAAAACTGCAAAAGACTATGTTTATATTGACATTATAATTTAGTGCCACTGGGTAGAGTATAGATAGAGCACAGGAACTTCCGCATGTGTATCCATTCGTATTATATATGGATTATAATATTTGTAGTCATTTTCAGAGTTTATTTTTTGTAAACATTGTTCTTTTATTGACATGAACCTTTGCCTATGGTATGTCATTCACCCCATTATCCTTAATGAGTTGAGTACTGGCATGAAACACCAACCCGCAATACCACCTGTAGCCCCTGAAAACAAATATATTCTATTGAACGCTCTTATTAGTGTTTATCTGAATTAATCTTGCACATAGCATTGTTTATATTGCCATTCTTTACATTTACTACTCAATACTGACGTTCTTGAAAATGGCTAGAAAATGTATCACAAATAGAACAGGTTCTAGTCAAAGCACCAATATGTAAGCGCAGCATGGACAGTTCACAGTAGACCCCCGAGATAGCTCCTCACACATAGTTCTGTAGACATAAAATAAGCCACCAGCTGAAAGTGTTTTAGGTATATAGCAGATGTTTTTCTAAATCAAAGGTTTCTGTTATGTGGTTTTAGCATTTTAGTGTTGCTGTTTGATTTTGTTCATGAGTTGAGGTTTTAATTATGTGATGTTCAAAATTTTGCTTGCTGAGATAATTCAACAAGTTTTCCAGTTTCATATTATTATAAGATTATACTGCAATTGCTAACATGTATGGCATTTTATTTCCGTTTTAGTCCTTATTATGATGGGCAGACATATTGTTAGTCATAAGATACTTATACTCAAATGAAACTGAAGTTTCATGTAACAATGTCTACAAGAATGTGTGCACACACACACACAGCGACAATTATTGATGGGTATTGTGTCTTTTGCGTCGACCTGACATGATTAATTATCAATTTTCAATATTAATTACCAACATTTTGGCATCAGACTTTTACCAGGTTATCACTTTTCCATCTCGTATTATTATATCCCTTCAAACTTGTTATCACGTGTGATATTATTATTAGGTTTTAAAGGAGAACTTGATAAGCCAGGCCAAGGACAAAAGTTGGTGTATAAATGCCACTCGGTAAATATTAAGACCTTCAAGTTTGGGATTTTGCTCATCAGAAACCTATATGACTCACTGCTCTCTTTGCATGCATTTCACCTGAATGGAATGATGGGCGACCCGAGCCTCGAGTTATTTCGAAAGAGTAAGTAATACGCTCAAAACACACAAGTGTGGTTTCTTAGTATATTGTTATTTATAAAAATGTAAAAAATTAAAAACAAAATGGAGCCTATACGTACATGGCATTTTAATCAAATTGAAACCATCTTGAATATGCCGCACCTGAATAAGTGATACATTCTCTTTAGAATAAGAGGCCAATTTTATCATGCCATGCTAGATTTAATTTTCTAACAATGACATTGTCTTCTTTCATTTAAAGAACGACTAGTCATAACCTTAAAGTGTTTATGATATTCGATTATGACTTCAATGATATACATGTATGGAGAGGCCATATATGGCATGGCGGGCTCATCTTTCAAAACTCTGGACGCAATGTTCATTTATACCATGAGGTCCACCTATCCTTTTCTTTCTGATTTGACAATGCATTCTAGCAAACTTGTCCTTTGTGTTCTTATAGATTATTTTGTTAATGATTGTCAATTCTGTGTTATTGGGAATGATTACATTCCCAGTTCTGACTGATATCTTAATCAAGATTATTCCCTGCCATTTCCTAATTTCTTCACATTAGTCACTCTTGACTAGGGTTAGCTATCAGTGGTACTTCCAGCCATCTTCTTCCATTGGTTTTGTAATCTGTCAAATTTCCCTTCCATCCTACTTCCAAGCCAATTTGTTGATAATTTTTTAAAATTTCACGAATCTGGGCCAATATTAGTAATCAGTAATCTATTTATTACTGGCATTTCTTATATCTTCATGCTAAAGTAGTACAATACCATTCCAAGTGCCCGTTCCTTCACAATGATAACACTCCACACAGAGTGAAAATCTTCTTCCTTTGCATTATAAGCCAGTGGTGTATTTTGTATTCTTTCTGTGGTATTTCATTCCAACTCTATTATCCCCCGAAGTCATATACTTTGTTTCCATATTATCGTACCCAAATTCTCAAGTCAAATTAGTGTGACTCAGTTTTTTTGAGAATACAGACATGTGTTGAGAATAGAGAAACACGTTTCTCCAGTCTCTTCATCCATCGAAAAGTGCTTAAAAGGGGACATCTCGTCCCCAGTGCGTTTATTTATTTTGTTTGTGTTTTCAAATAAATACTATTACTTTTAACAGGTACAGATTTTGTTGATATGGTAAAAAAGAAACATGAAAGTTGGCGGAATCTAGTTGTTAGCTGGTTCAAATCTGGGAATCCATTTTTGGTGGTACATTATGAGGATTTGGTACAAAACCCAATACAGAATGTGAAGAAAATGGTGAACTTTCTAAATATTACACTAACCCCTGAACGACTCAAATGCTTGCGAAACGACATTGAAGGTCTTTACCATCGTCAACATCCTGCGAAATTTCATTTTGATCCCTTCACTCAAGAGTTGCATGAAATCATAGACGAAGATATCCGAGTTGTAAATGAGCTGTTGATGAGTAGAAATGAAACACCAGTACCTCAACCAGCTTATAACACTGAGCTTTAGCTACATTTAACTTTCTATTTCATAATTTGATCCTGTTTGAATTTATTGTATTTTTCTCCTGGCAATCGTATGTTATTATTTTTGGTTGATTGTGTTTCCTCAGTCGATCTAGTTTGCGCTGAGGGCCTTTCTATCATGTCTTGTTTTCTTTGTGTTGAATCTTCTACAAAAGCTATATTTTCTGGTGTACCACCTTATTTCCTGAACTCTTTATTGAAAAAGATCCATATCTAAATATGGTAAGGTTGTTTATGTGAAATTATTTCATTGACAGCTATACAATATATTTGATGATAATTCGCTTGACATCACAACATTATTAGCATCACATACGATCACACGTACTGTCCACGAACGAAATCGTGTGTCATAAAACGGGCACAATCACCAAAATTGTCGTGAAAATGTTGAGAAAGAACCCATTTATATCATGATAAACTGACTCTGTCCCAATGTTCCGGCAAATACCTCACTTCAAAAGTCTTCAAAAATCAAATGCATCTTCAAAAATTCCTACAAATGAAATAATGACGACTGGTATTATCTATATTTGCACATGATGTAATGCACACATTTCTTATAAATCTAAACACTTGATTAATCGAGCCCACAGTTTTTGCTTTTCTGGCACAAGAAAAAACACGTCCATCCAAAAGTAACAATTGGCATACATCGTTTGACTTGTAGGTCAAGTATCCACATATCTAGAATGCTCAGGATTCCTAATAAAAGCAGCGATAAACTCTTAGATGTATTCTGTCTCTATTATTTATACGCACAGCAAGCCTTTCGGGAGTTACATAAAACTTACGTGGTTGTCGTGATTCATTCGAAAAATGTTTTTAGTGTTTATTTAGTGATTAGTTTATTTTAGTTTATTGAGTGGATTTATTTAAAGCGCGGTGGTCGTCGCGCAGCGCGTGTTCGAATTTCATGTAAATAAACAATGTATTTTACACGCGTTGTAAACGTCGCTATGAGTCCCATATCGAACAGGACGCGACACGACGACTGCCGCCCTTTAACAGAACAATCTACTGAAACGCATTCCGTACCTTCTGATGATGCAAGTGGTATGGAAAGAAGCACCTGTGAATTTTTCGTATAAAAGTTCTGCTTGTGTTGCTTCAATATTGAAACCAAATAAATATGTTAATATTTTAAAGCGGAAGGGTCGTCACCTGCGCACGCGCGGGAATTGAGTCCCAAACGACGATGACAACACACGCTAAAAACGCAAAGACTCATAGGTAGAAGCTTGTTTGTAAACAATAACTTGTTATGGCCATCTGACGCATGCGCAGGTGACGACTCCCCCGTGTTAAATTTTTTCCTGGACGTCTTTTCTGTGGGGATGGCGTTCCGGTGCAAATATTAAATGTGTATGCCCGAACAAATTGTCTAGATTTTGTAAGGTTTTAAAACAATATCTGAACTGTTTAAATAATGACTCACTTGTCGAGGGAGATTTTAATTGCACTCTATGTTCTAAAACTAATAGAGCTGAATGATCTGAGTCACGCTCTTTATCTTCAAACATTCTTTCTGATATTTTACCAAGATTTACATTTGTTGATACATGGCTTCAGAGCAAAAAAATTTTCTTTGAGCAGGAACAAATGTAATTTATGTAGAGACACATCTATTGTGTCTAAGATTAAAAGTAGTTCCATCTATCCATATCATAATTGGTCTGATTATCTTGTTACAGTTCTAGTCTTCTCCGCAGATAAAGTTTTCTGTTAAATAATAAATGATTACTGGTATACATGACGTAATGAGAAGATTTTAATAACATCCAGTTACTAATCAATACCTTTTGAAGTTAAGTAATCATTAAAAACGAACTGAAAACTCGTTACAACACGAAATTATCAATATTGAACAACTGTAATAATGTTCCAATCTCAATCTCGTCAACTCGCTCAGTGAAAAGGAATCTCTTGAAAATTGGATACAGTCCGAAACAAGGGGCAGCATTGCGTTTCAAATTCTTAAAGAAAATCATGCCCCATTTTTTTTTTTTTTAGCAGTAATCAAATCATGCCGTAATTACAACAACGTGATGGTACAATCACTGATTGCCCATGTGAGATAGAAGGTGATTTTTATTGTTATGGCCAAATAACGTTATACTAATTTGCTATTGTACAGTCCATCGCCCTCTGTAGTTGAGATTTGGTAAGGTGGCTATTTATAGCACCGGGAAAAAGCAGAGAGAAATGGCGGATCGCATCATGTGTTGCTGGTGTTTTGACGCATTTGCATGAATTACAGCAGTCGAGTGAACTACACTAAGCGAAGTT